TACATCAATAGCTATGGCATTGTACTGCCAAAAACAGTGCTTTTAGGCATTCCATGTTTTCTTTTCTGTCTGTTTTAGTCACATGATACACACAGGAGTTAGTACTTGATTGCATAACCATTGTTTTTGATGACTGCAGCCATGCGTCTTGGCATGCTCTCCACCAGCTTCTGACATTGTAGAAAGACATTTCCTGCCTCGACCAGCTAGCAATTTGGTAGTACCATGTTCGGCTTGCTTTTTCTTGGTGTAATGAACGGCTGTCTTGGAGATCTTCAGTTTTTTGGCTACCTGTCTCTCACTCATGCCAATTTCCAGCAGTGCCAAGATGGCTGCCTTTGTGGCTTCACATAATTCCTTTTTTTTAGGCATTATGTGAGAGCTGACAACTTCTGAGTTGTGCTACGGCTTGAATGTAAGCAGGAAACCACTCTAGGCCTTTGCATGTGCAGTGCTGCTTATGACATGAAATGGCCTCTTATATACCCTGGGAATACAATTAAGCTTAAGCATGTCAAATAGGACATAAAGTATTATGGAATCCGCTGCATTTTTCGTCGTGTTCATTTCATTCTTCAGGTAATATACCTTTAGTGGTACCAGGCATTAAAATGAACAAGAAATTGAAGAAAACAAGGGTGGTCTAATAATTTTTTCCATGACTGTATGTGTAACCAATAGGGCTGTAACGATAACCACATTACCACAACACTGCTGCTTACTTAGGGGCTGAGCTCACTGATGGTAAACTGCATAAAATGCAGGGGTATGTTGCTTTTTCAACGCAAGAAAAAAATCCATACTGTCACAGCTCTAGTGGCCAATAACATTTTAAGGATATCTTTCTGATTTCAGAATCAGAAAGATATTGTAAGGATAAGGATTGATGCAGTCCATTTTAAATACTAAATGCTAAATGATAGTAGTAATAATGTAACCAAAACGTATTTTCTGACTGAAGAAATAATGGGTCTCTCTTTTATACAATCAGGTGTGTAAAAAAAATTTAAGAGCCTTTCATTAGTTCAATTCTTCTTCTCTGCCTTCAAGTTTAATCACTGAATCCCTGACATATTGTTGTTCTTCAAATACTCCCACAAGGTAATCAAAAAAATGTCTGAACAACAATTTTTATTTTATTTTAATTAGAACCATTCATGGGAACGAGACACTTTCTCTGAAGACACTGTGCAGAGTTTAGGGAAGAAAATCAGACACATTCAATAGAGATC